TAGAAAATGAGCAATACAGACAGCTTGTTTTTCTTAGTTTGTCTAGTGTTACTGATTAATATTAACCCGCCAGGGTTATTTTTTTTTTTTTTTGCCACATTTAACAACTCCAAACCTTTCTAAATGTGTCCTCCCAATTCATATGTTGAATAGCATTTGCATCTTTGGCAAACTTTAATCTCTTCTTTTGATTATTTTTGTTTTAAAGTATGGGATATTTTAACCTATTTTTACCTTCATCTCTGATAAATTTATCAGGCAAAGATTTTATATGCAACAATTTAAGTTTTTCTGTAATTTCTAAGTCTTTGAAAGATTGTTCGGACATTTCCTGGCATGAAATATTGATTCCTGCATTTTGCCAGATGTTGCAGAGTTTACTTTATCATTTTTAAATGGTAAACAGAGTACATTTATTACAAATCAGCGGGAGGGATTTGTTAAAAGATGGACTGTGCATCTGTTATGGACTTGTTCCTTGCATTTCACATGTGATTGACTTGACTTCCTTGTTCATAAGAGTATAAGAAGAGAGGAGCATTGCATATGACCTATGCTAATCAGGTCCTCCTCATGCCCAACCACTCCCATCCTTATACCCGTCCAATCTACTTTTAGAAACTGTAGAGTGCAGTTTTCAAACCCACATTAAAGAGCTAAGATTAATTGCAAGTGCAGGAAACAGATATTATTGCTATAACAGAGACCTGGCTCAATCTGAAAGATAGAGAGATGCCCTCTGAATGTCACATACAAGGCTATAAATTATTCCACACTGACAGGGTCAACAGGAAGGGTGGTGGAGTAGCGATGTATGTCAGAGACAATTTAAATTGTTGTGTTAGACAAGATATAAAATTAGAAGCGTCAGCCACTAAATCTGTTTGGTTACAGCTTCTCGAGGGCTGAGAAAAACTAATTTTGGGTGTGATTTACAGGGCCCCAAATCTTGATAGGGAGTGCAGTAAACTTCTATGGGACGAAATTCGTAAGGCATCTACATACAAAAATGTTGTGCTAATGGGAGATTTCAGCTATAGACAGATTGACTGGAGCAATTTGACAAGAAATTTAGAGTCAGGTGACTTGATACGATCCAGGATTGTTTTTTAAAACAGTTTGTGACAGAGCCAACTAGGGGAAATAACCTCCTTGACTTGGTTCTTGCCAGTAGGGAAACACTAATTAATACTCTTGAGGTTAATGATGAGCTTGGGGAAAGTGATCACAAATCACTCAGTTTTAATATATCATGGAATTCCCCTAATAATGGCAATCAAGTCTCCGTCCCTGACTTTCACTTGGCTGATTTCATAGGACTGAAAAATTACTTGGGTGGGCTGAACTGGAATGACCTGACTAAGGGTCAGGTAGGTGGTGATGGTTGCCGATATGATGCTTTCCAGGGCATAGTTCTAGCTGCTCAGTCAAATTATGTTCCAAATAGGGAAATCATATCAAACAAAAATGATCCTAAATGGATGAACAATAGATTAAAATATCTGATTGGTCAAAAGAGATTCATATACAGTGGACCCTCAACCAGCGATATTAATCCGTTCCTGAGAGCTCATCGTTAGTCAAAATTATCGTTAGTCAAGTTAATTTTCCCCATAAGAAATAATGGAAATCAAATTAATCCGTGCAAGACACCCAAAAGTATTGAAAAAAAAATTTTTTTACCACATGAAATATTAATTTTAATACACACAAACTGAAGATTACATGCACAGTTACATGACACTTACCTTTATTGAAGATCTGGTGATGATTGATGGGATGGGAGGAGGGGAGAGGTGTTAGTGTTTAGAAGGGAAATCCCCTTCCATAGCACTTGAGGCAGCAAGTCTTTTTCTGGGGTTACTTCCCTTGTTCTTTTAATGCCACTAGGACCAGCTTCAGAGTCACTGGACTCTGTCGCACAAAATATCTGTCCATAGTTACTTGTACCTCTCGTTCCTTTATGACTTTCCTGAAGTGGTTCACAACATTGTCAGTGTCACCATTAAACACTTGTTCAGGTTTCAGTCTTTCACTGTCTATGTACTCCTTGAATTCCTGCACATATTTTTCAGCTGCTTTTTGGTCCAAACTGGCAGCCTCACCATGCCTTATCACACTATGTATGCCACTACGATTCTTAAATCTCTCAAACCAACCTTTGCCGGCCTTAAATTCACTCACATCACCACTAGTTGCTGGCATTTTTCTAATTAAATCGTCATGCAACTTCCTAGCCTTTTCACATATGATCGCTTGAGAGATGCTATCTCCTGCTATCTGTTTTTTGTTTATCCATACCAATAACAGTCTCTCAACATCTTTTATCACTTGCGATCTCAGTTTCGAAAACATGGTTGCACCTTTGGCAAGAACAGCTTCCTTGATTGCCGTTTTCTTGGCCACAATAGTAGCGATAGTTGATTGGGGTTTTGTGTACAGCCTGGCCAGCTCGGAGACACGCACTCCACTTTCATACTTAGCAATGATCTCTTTCTTCATATCCATAGTAATTCTCACCGTTTTTGCTGTAGGGTTGGCACTAGAAGCTTTCTTGGGGCCCATGGTGACTTATTTTGAAGGTGCAATCACTAAAAAGGCTGTGATAATATGAAATGTTCCGATTGTATGCTTGGAAGCGACCGCGGTGGCTGGCTGGCTTGTAAACACTGGCCAGAAGTGGACGCGTCTCAGACGGAACGAATAGTGTTGGTCGAGTTTTTTAGCGCTAATCGAGGCAAAATTTTTGCGATAAAATGTATCGCTAGTCAGATTTATCGTTAATCGATGGCATCGCTGGTCGAGGGTCCACTGTATAGGCAAATCAAAAGAGGAGAGGGGCAATTAAGAAATCGATATATTCAGTTAAAGAGAGAAATAAAAGAGGGAATTAGAAAAGCAAAAAGAGATTATGAGGTTAAAGTTGCAAGAGAATCGAAGACTAACCCAAAAGCATTCTTTCAGGTATACAGAAGTAAGATCAGTGACAAGATAGGCCCACTCAAAAGTTCCTCGGGTCACCTCACTGACAGTGATAAGGAAATGTGTAGAATTTTTAACACATACTTCCTCTCAGTTTTTACACAGGAGGATACCAGCGATACTCCAGAAGTGATAAAATATGTAGAACAGGACGATAATAAACTGCACGATTAGGGTCACAAGTGACATGGTCCTTAGGCAAATAGATAAATTAAAACCTAACAAATCCCCAGGCCCTGATGAACTGTATGCAAGGGTTCTAAAGGAATGTAAAGAGGAACTTAGCAAACCTTCGGGTAATCTTTTCAACGTATCACTACAAACTGGCATGGTGCCAGATAAGTGGAAAATGGCAAATGTGATACCTATTTTCAAAGCAGGTGACAGGTCCTTAGCTTCAAACTATAGACCAATAAGCCTAACCTCCTTAGTGGGAAAATTTATGGAATCAATAATTGCCGAGGCAGTTCGTAGCCAACTTGAAAAACATAAATTAATCATTGAATCTCAGCATGGTTTTACAAAGGGGTGTTCCTGCCTTACGAATTTATTAACTTTTTTCACTAAGGTATTTGAGGAGGTAGATCATGGTAATGAATATGATATTGTGTATATGGACTTCAGTAAGGCTTTTGACAGGGTCCCACATCAGAGACTATTGAGGAAAATTAAGGCACATGGAATAGGAGGAGAAATTTTTTCCTGGATAGAGGCATGGTTGACAAATAGGCAGCAGAGAGTTTGCATAAATGGGGAGAAATCAGAGTGGGGAAGCGTCACGAGCAGTGTTCCACAGGGGTCAGTGTTGGGCCCCCTGCTGTTCACAATCTACATAAACGACATAGATGAGGGCATAAAGAGCAACATCAGCAAGTTTGCCGATGACGCCAAAATAGGCCATCGAATTCATTCTGACGAGGACATTCGAGCACTCCAGGAAGATTTGAATAGACTGATGCAGTGGTCGGAGAAGTGGCAGATGCAGTTTAATATAGACAAATGCAAAGTTCTAAATGTTGGACAGGACAGTAACCATGCCACATATAAACTAAATAATGTAGATCTTAATATTACGGATTGCGAAAAAGAATAAGGAGTTCTGGTTAGCAGTAATCTGAAACCAAGACAACAGTGCATGAGTGTTCGCAATAAAGCTAATAGAATCCTTGGCTTCATATCAAGAGGCATAAATAATAGGAGTCCTCAGGTTGTTCTTCAACTCTATACATCCTTGGTTAGGCCTCATTTAGATTATGCTGCACAGTTTTGGTCACCGTATTACAGAATGGATATAAATGCTCTGGAAAATGTACAAAGGAGGATGACAAAGTTGATCCCATGTATCAGAAACCTTCCCTATGAGGATAGACTAAGGGCCCTGAATCTGCACTCTAGAAAGACGTAAAATTAAGGGGGATATGATTGAGGTGTATAAATGGAAGACAGGAATAAATAAAGGGGATGTAAATAGTGTGCTGAAAATATCTAGCCTAGACAGGACTCGCAGCAATGGTTTTAAGTTGGAAAAACTCAGATTCAGGAAGGATATAGGAAAGTACTGGTTTGGTAATAGAGTTGTGGATGAGTGGAACAAACTCCCAAGTACAGTTATAGAGGCCAGAACGTTGTGTAGCTTTAAAAATAGGTTGGATAAATACATGAGTGGATGTGGGTGGGTGTGAGTTGGACCTGATAGCTTGTGCTACCAGGTCGGTTGCCGTGTTCCTCCCTTAAGTCAATGTGACCTGACCTGACTAGGTTGGGTGCATTGGCTTAAGCCGGTAGGAGACTTGGACCTCCCTCGCATGGGGCAGTAGGCCTGCTGCAGTGTTCCTTCGTTCTTATGTTCTTAAAACTAAGTTTTTGTCATTATTTTTTCTCGGGTGGTTTTTGGGATGGTGATGACATGGTTCTGGATTTGTGTATACACTTCATCTCTGTGAAATGATATGTATGGCATGTATAACATACGACTTTAAAGTTCGTATTCCTGGTCACTAATTTGTTATTCTTCATAGTTATGAAGTTGGTGCACCACCAGACTGTTTAACACGACTTCGTGTGGTTACTCTCATCCTGCAGTAAACACCTGGGAACTTTGGTTGTCTGTTTGGCTGTAGTGCTCTACCTTCAGAAGCTAAGGACCTGTCTCCTGTTTTGTAAATACTGGTAGGTATCACTAAGGCCCTCTTACACATCTCTGCCAAGATAACTATTTAAAGTGATGTATTAAAGAGGATACCTGATGATTATTAGGCAGATCTTTGCAGTAATTCGCATTGTTTGGCTTAATTGGGTTATCCTAGGTTAAATATACATAAAGTACTGTTTATGTGTGTGTGCACACACGTGCACATATGTACGTACATACCTATTTGTGGTTGCAGGGGTCGAGTCATAGCTCTTGGTCCTGCCTCTTCACTGATTGCTACTGGGTCCTCTCTCTTCCTGCTCCATGAGCTTTATCAAACCTCATCTTAAAACTATGTATGGTTTCTGCCTCCACTACAACACTTTCTAGGCTGTTAAACTTTCTGACAACTCTGACTGAAGAAATACTTCGTAAAATATCTCTGACTCATAGGAGTCTTCAGCTTTCAATTGTGACCCCTTGTTTCTGTGTCCCATCTCTGGAACATCCTGTCTTTGTCCACCTTGTCAATTCCTCACAGTATTTTATGTCATTATCATGTTTTCCTTGACCTTCCTGTCCTCCAGTGTCGTCAGGCTGATTTCCCTTAACCTCTCTTCGTAGGACAATCCCCTTAGCTCTGGGACTAGTCTTGTTGCAAACCTTTGCACTTTCTCTAATTTTTTGATGTGCTTGACCAGGTGTGGATTCCAAACTGGTATTGCATACTCCAATATGGGCCTGATATATATGGTGTACAGTCTTGAACGATTCTTTACTGAGGTATTGGAATGCTATTCTTAGGTTTGCCAGTCGCCCGTATGCTGCAGCAGTTATCTGATTGATATGCATCTCAGGAGATAAGAACATAAGAAAGAAGGAACACTGCAGCAGTCCTACTGGCCCATGCGAGGCAGGTCCAAGTCTCCCACCGGCTTAAGCCAGTGCCCCAACCTAGTCAGGTCAGGTCACATTCGCTTAAGGAAGGAGCATGGCATCTGACCTAATAGCACAAGCTAGTCAGGTCCAACTCTCACCCACCTACACCCACTCATGTATTTATCTAACCTGTTTTTAAAACTACACAACGTCTTAGCTTCTACGACGGTACTTGGGAGTTTGTTCCACTCGTCTACAAACAGTGCTTTCTTATATCCTTCCTGAATCTGAATTTTTCCAACTTAAAGCCATTGCTGCGAGTCCTGTCTAGGCTAGATATTTTTAGCATGCTATTTATATCCCCTTTATTTATTCCTGTCTTCCGTTTATATACCTCAGTCATATCCCCCCTAATTCTATGCCTTTTCCAGAGAGTACAGATTCAGGGCCCTCAGTCTATCCCCATAGGGAAGATTTCTGATACGTGATCAACTTTGTCATCCTCCTTTGTACATTTTCCAGAGCATTTATATCCATTCTGTAATATGGTGACCAAAAGTGTGTAGCATAATCTAAATGGAGGCCTAACCAAAGATGTATAGAGTTGAAGAACAACCTGAGGACTCCTATTATTTATACTTATTGATATGAAGCCAAGGATTCTCTTTACTTTAATGCAAACAGTTATGCACTGTTGTCTTGGTTTTAGATTACTGCTAACTAGAACCCCCAAATCCTTTTTGCATTCGGTAATATTAAGATCTACATTTTTTAATTTATATGTGGCATGGTTATTTTCCTGTCCATTATTTAGAAATTTGCATTTGTCTATATTAACCCTTAACCCCCTTGACTGTCGCAATCCCCAGTCCTGAGGTGTCTCCTGGTGTCGCAAAATTTAAAAAAAAAAATTATTTTTTTCTTATGAAATGATAGAGAATCTTTTCCCCATTGTAATGACACCAAAAAAACGAAATTTGATGGAAAACTGACAGAATTACGCTCTCGCGAAGTTAGCGACCTCAGCGATATTTACAAATCGGTGATTTCACACACTTTGAGCCCTATTTTAGGCTAATTCAAGTGTTCCAGTCGACCAAATGCATAGCTATTTCTTTAGAACTCCATTTTTTTCTATCGATTGAGTACAAGAAACTGCCCATTTACCAATTTCACCTACCCAATAACGTGGTCAGAAATTTGCAATTTGGCCAATTTCATGAAAATTAAAAAATATGACAATTTCAAAATTAGGTCCAGAATGAACAGTGCAGACATTCCTGGCTCTAAAATAACATTTTCTTTGTTCATCAGTCATGTCTCCAGGCCCCTCTGATATTACTCTTGCTTTCTATTTTGAATTTTTATTCAAACAAAAAATAGAAGATTTACTATTATGCAGACTACTGCAATACTGTAATAATTGTATACATAACATCAACCCAATCATGACTGCATATTAGAATGGCTAGTTGGACATTTATTGGACAATGACATCATTTGTTTACTCTTGAACACTGGCAAAAATCAAACATTTTCCCTAATTTGAGCTCCATTTCCAGGTTCTTTTTATAGTCAAATCAATCGAAATCACCTCTATTTCTATAACATGTTTTCCATTCTGTGAAATGAGACCAAGAAAACGAGAATACAACCATAAATACTATACTGTACGAAAATAGACCACAAAGTCGGCATTTTAATTAAAAAAAGCGGTCAGTTTTTTTTTCATAATTAAAATGCCGACTTTGTGGTCTATTTTCGTACAGTATAGTATTTATGGTTGTATTCTCGTTTTCTTGGTCTCATTTGACAGAATGGAAAACATGTTATAGAAATAGAGGTGACTTCGATTGATTTGACTATAAAAAGAACCTGGAAATGGAGCTCAAATTAGGGAAAATGTTTGATTTTTGCCAGTGTTCAAGAGTAAACAAATGATGTCATTGTCCAATAAATGTCCAACTAGCCATTCTAATATGCAGTCATGATTGGGTTGATGTTATGTATACAATTATTACAGTATTGCAGTACAGTGGACCCCCGCATACCGGACGCATCGCATACCGTACAATCCGCATACCGGACGCTTTGATCGCAAAAATTTTGCCTCACATACCGCCCAAAAACCCGCTCAACGCCCTTCGTCCGAGACGCGTCCAATGTGCGGCCTGAGCCACGCTCACATGTTCCGCCGGTGGCATTGTTTACCAGCCAGCCTCCGCGGTAACATCCAAGCGTACAATCGGAACATTTCGTATTATTACAGTGTTTTTGGTGATTTTTTCTGGAAAATAAGTGACCATGGGCCCCAAGAAAGCTTCTAGTGCCAACCCTACAGCAATAAGGGTGAGAATTACTATGGAGATGAAGAAAAAGATCATTGATAAGTATGAAAGTGGAGTGCGTGTCTCCGAGCTGGCCAGGTTGTATAATAAACCCCAATCAACCATCGCTACTATTGGTGGTACAGCTGCTGCTGCTGCTGTACCACCGTCAGCTGCTGCTGCACTGTCAGCTGCTGCTGCTGTACCACCGTCAGCTGCTGCTGCTGCTGCTGTACCACCGTCAGCTGCTGCTGCTGCTGCTGTACCACCGTCAGCTGCTGCTGCTGTACCACCGTCAGCTGCTGCTGCTGCTGTAGTACCGTCTGCTGCTGCTGTAGCATCGTCTGTTGCTGCTGTAGCATCGTCTGTTGCTGCTGTACCACCGTCAGCTGCTGTACCACCGTTGTTGGTGTGGCTTATTGAGAATACCAAGAAACAATTAACCCCAGAGGATTTGCCACCCAGGATAACCCAAAAAAGTCAGTGTCATCGAAGACTGTCTAACTTATTTCCATTGGGGTCCTTAATCTTGTCTCCCAGGATGCAACCCACACCAGTCGACTAACACCCAGGTGAACAGGGAAAATGCCTGGAACTAGTGCTCATATTGGTGAATTTAGAGCCAGCAAAGGTTGGTTTGAGAGATTTAAGAATCGTAGTGGCATACACAGTGTGATAAGGCCTGTTCTGGAAGAAAATACCAAACAGGACCTACAGTACTCAGGAGGAAAAGGCACTCCCAGGACACAGTGTCTCATCAGTCATTGCTGCATCTTCAATAAAGGTAAGTGTCATTTATTCTTCATTTAGTAGAGTAGTACATGCACAATATATATTGTGCATGTACTACTCTACTATTGTGCATGTATCCTTCTCTTTGTGTGTAGGAAAATGTATATTTCATGTGGTAAAAATTTTTTTTTCATACTTTTGGGTGTCTTGCACGGATTAATTTGATTTCCATTATTTCTTATGGGGAAAATTCATTCGCATACCGAACATTTCGCATAACAGCCAGCCCTCTTGCACGGATTAAGGTCGCTATGCGGGGGTCCACTGTAGTCTGCATAATAGTAAATCTTCTATTTTTTGTTTGAATAAAAATTCAAAATAGAAAGCAAGAGTAATATCAGAGGGGCCTGGAGACATGACTGATGAACAAAGAAAATGTTATTTTAGAGCCAGGAATGTCTGCATTGTTCATTCTGGACCTAATTTTGAAATTGTCAGTTTTTTTTCTCATTATGCACAGGATTTTTTTTATATGGTGCACACTGACCACACTGACCCGTTCTCTTACATGTGGGCCTACCAGCTTTCTCGTTCTTGATTTGAAGCCGCTAGAATTTATGAGTATATATACGTTAAACACGGTACCTCGTAAGATGTATATATACAGCCGTGACAGTCAAAGGGTTAAACTGTCCAAACGTAGATCTACGTTTGCACGCGTAGCACTCCGACCTTGATTTTCCCCATAAGAAAGAAAAAAACGTAGATCTACATTTGGAGCGCTACGCGAGCGAACGTAGATCTACGTTTGGACAGTTTAGGGTTAAACTGCATATGCTACTTATCAGTCTACTCAAATCTTCCTGGAGTGCTTTAATGTCCCCGTCAGAATGAATTGGACGGCCTATTTTGGTGTCATCGGCAAACTTCCTTTTATCGCTATTTATTCCCTCATCTCTGTCATTCGTGTAGATTGTGAACAAGGGGCCCAACACTGATCCCTGTGGAACACCATTTGTGACGCTTCCCCACTGATTTCTCCCCAGTTATGCAAACACTCTGCCACCCATCTGTCAACCACACCTCTGTCCAGGAAAAAA